GGTATTCGTCACCTATATCATTTGAATCACAAATTGGACATAGGCGTAACTTATAGTCAATATTAGCATATCGACCGACTTCAACTGGAAATCTATGTGCAGATATCCTAAACCTTGTAACCGCTTGGCGGTGTTTTACATTTCTGACCGAAGACAAATAACTTTCAACATGCCAACTTGGTTTTACAAGGCTTAAGATTCGTAATTTGTTGCACTGTTGAATCTGATCTTTCCATATGGTATTATATCTATTACATAATTCATTCTTAATAGCTTTAGCTAAATTACTAATATCACTTTTAGACTGAATTTCATAACTGCTCAAAGGTTCGAAATCACACATATGTAGTAAGAAATCAGAGAATTTCACACCCTGATACCTTGATTGAATGCACACCTGTACTGCCTTACCTACTAATTGCTTTTTGTAATTTGGACTATTTATTCTTAACCAGTATTTGATAACTAGAGTTGAAATTTGTACAGACATTGGTAATCTGCCTAGTTCAGCTAGCACTGCTAGATTGGTAGATTTGGGGTGGACCCCTAAAATACGTTTACAAAATTTTAAATGTAGCTTATCAATATCTGAAATCATGTTGAAAATTTTGTTCTTGAACATCTCGGTGGTTGTCAATCTGCCTAAGAAATATACTCCCCATATCTCACAACAATATAACAGAATAGGGGACACAAGAGTTGAGAATAACTTTAACAGCACCTTAACCGGAACCCTATCCACATTGGAAAAGTTTTTAAAAATACTGTGGTAAGCCTGCAGTGCCTTATTATGCAATCTCTTACGTGCAAGTTTAAAACCACCAGCATAATGAAATGTAATTCCTAGGTACGGATATTCATCAACACATTCTATCAGATCCCCACCAAAATACCAATTCGTCGTAATATACGGCCGCCTTTGAGATTTACTTCCAAAGATTAGAACTTTAGACTTTTTTAAATTAATTATAAATCGCCAAATATTGCAGTAAAAAACTTTTCGCCGGTCGGGCCGATCGCCGGTTTTCACAAGAGTTTGAACGTTAAACATTGCATTTTTTACTTTAAAATGTCTTCTGAAGACTAGTTATTCGATGTTCAGGGCTAAATCAGGACGAAGTTTGTTCTTTAAGAACAAATGAGAACAAGGAAGATTCAAAACATCAAAATATACATGACTTGTGGTTCGGATTTTTGACTGAAAAAGTTGTTTTTATTTTTGCATATATTTTTAATATTTTCGCGCGTTATTATTATGTATGGAGCCACCTTAAGCTATGTCTTTCAAACATCATGGATACGATGTATTGATACATCTATATTTATTCTCAATAGATTACTAATAAATAGATTGATAGATTAAAATTAAAATAAAATCCCATGGTGGACTGGTGGTAAAGGTAGTTGCGAGGCATATACAGTGACTTCAGTTAGCATTAATAGATTAAATTGTCATAGTGTTAAAGAGTAGCTCTATATATTCTTGTGGTACGCGGATATGCAATCAAGTAGTTATTTTGAGATTAAGGCGACAGTTAGTTAGCATGCATTAATAGATTAAATTCTCATGCTATTAGAGAGCTTAAATGTGGTGTAATATGTAAATATGTTCCTCACAACCGGACATTGGTGTTTGACAGATTATGATTAATTAGCGTCGCTGGGAGAAAAAAATTTATATTATAAAGCATTCTAAACATAATATTAAACATTATAAGTCTTGCATGATATTTCTTTATAGTATTAATTTGTAATATTGTCTTAGTAATTATTTTGTGTATATTAGAACGAGGGAATAAGGTCTGGTACTGTATATATACGTATCTAGTGAAATAGTGGCTGAGCTACATGATATGATATTATACTATAGTGGACGGGTATTCTGCAATACTTCTATTTGTGGAAAGTGATCTTGATGGTCGCTTTGAATCTTCCAGTATTTCCTTGCACGCTAGTTATCGTAGTTTTCAATTGGGATGATATATAGTTTTAACTAGCAATAACAGTTCTTGAGTATTTTCGGAACCAGAAAAACAAGTTTGTTGATTTACTATGGCATCGCGAAGCAAATCGTTTATCTTTCTACACGTGGTCGAAAAAGAACAACGTGCATGGAGTGATGGATATATGATGGACCAATGGGTTATGCAGGGTGTGAAGGGATCCATCGATAACGCGCGGAGGCCTGAACGCGGATGAGTGATGCGTCCGACTGTCAATGAGGAGTCCGACTGTCTGACGGAAAAAAAATTTGCGGCGCCGCTAGGAACCCGTCAACTGCAAAAACGCATCGTCGGAGAAGTTACTACAATCATTGACATTGTACTCACAACCACCAATATAAATCCTTTAATTCAAAGAATAAATGACAAAAAGTTATAACCACTACGTTCAGTTAATAAATTTACTGCATTTTATTGCCTTTTTAGCGTTTTCTGCGTCTTTTTTTCAAGCAAACACGATCGGCGATAGATAACTCGTTTGCGGAGTACTCTGCAAAACGAGCCATGTTTGTCTAATCCAGTAATCGGACGTGAAGTCATACAGTCAACTGCGCATGAGCAAACTATTATTTGTAGCTGAGCGTGTTTTAAACTAAATGCGCATGCTCAGTAAACTGTGTCTGTTTGCACCAATTATTTGCAGTTGACTTGATATTTGCACGCTGTTATTTGCAGGTGAGTTAACCAATCAAAACTGAGAAAAAAATAAATTGAATAATAATAAAGCAATAACTGCAAATAATTTCTGTAAACGGATTAAATCCCGACCGCAAACTTGAGTTTTGTAATAGTAAAAATTTTGATGGACGAAATAGCAGCAGGTAAAAATATTAGTTTAATAATTCTGTTTCCTAACGCAGTTTTATGCAACTCGCACGTCTTTCACAGGAAATATTCTTATTTAAACAATACTAGCGGGATGGTGTTTCCTAACCTCAAATATGTGGGAAAAAATGAACCAAAAAGGCAAAGAAAAGTATCAAATTTTAGCGAACCAGCTATACCGATAGACTATACAGGTACCTGTCAGGCAAAACAGGATACAAAGTGCTAAAAATCCAAAAGTAGATATGAAGAAAGTATATAGTACCAAAATGATTATAATGGTGCTCTATATGAGTCTCAGAGGGTAATATACAATTACTTTATGGTTTCCGTGTTTGGATGGCCTGATCCAAACACGCGGGAATGTTGCGAGAGTTAAGAAAAGCGCGCGAAACACGAGCCGAAGGCGAGTGATTTTGCGCGCTTTTCTTAACTCGAGCAACATTCCCAAG